TTTTTAATTAAAAAGCTTCCTGGATAGGAAGCGAAACATCTTCAAAGTTGGAAACCAAGTCCAGTGGATTCTTTTTTTAACTTTCTTGGAATTGAATCGAGATTGGCATTACATCAAAACGGTTCTTGGAGGTTAAAGTTACTTTTTAAGTGTCATGTTGTTTTCACTCATTTTTAGGAAGACCTTCTGAAAGCAAACCTGAGCAAAAGTACCCGTAAGCAGAAGAAAACAGTCTACACAAGTCTGATAAGGACAATTGAAAAATCCATGCAAGACTGCTACAATGGTAAGAAAATTATATAAAGTAGTTAAAATTCTAATTATATATTCATTATTTTTACTAACACTTCATTCTGATGTTTTCCAGAAGCAGTAGTATTTTCAGGCTCTGGAACACTGCAGAACCTGCGGGAAACTATTGAGAAACATGTATTTGGTTTAAAGAACAACATGTTTGAACATGCTAAAATTGTTATGCTCATCGAACTGCGTGAATTAATGGTGAGTTATATTGAACAAGTTTAATATAAATGTCACTACCTATTACACTGCCACATGATGATCCATACAATGCTGTGGAAAACTACAGCCTTCTGTTTCTTGTCTGTTTCTTCTTGTTTCTTAATTTGTCTAAGGGCATAATCACCTGTTATTAAAATCTATATATCAAAGTAAATAGATTCTTTATATGCTAGAGATTATAAGGTTATTTACAGAGAAATATTAACCAGTCAGTAAAAATGTGCTTCGGATTCATTAAGCAGTTTGGAAAGAGGTTTTGGGCAACCTACGAAACTAATCATGTCTTTGTGTAAATAATGTTTGACTGCACCAAGAGATAAATATTTTGATACTTAATCAGGAGGAAATTCTCAGAAGACTAGAGCGTACCATGAAGGAAGCTACTGAGGTCTCTCTTGGGACTGATTATCAGTCAATTCCAGGTAAAGTTTCAGTTTTTAAAACAAAATGCATTTTTAAAAGAAAAAAATTAATAGAAACTGTGTTCCTAGACGTTTCAGCAGAGTTTGAACTGGTACAAAAACTCTACGATGAGCTGCTGCAAAACAGCCAGAATAGAGATCACTTTTAAGGTAAATACCACAATAAACAAAGATTTTTTTTCTTATTTTTTTATCTAAAACTTAAGGTTGTTTTTGTGGCTTTCTATTCAACAGCTACACGTATTAGTGGGATTCATTACAGGACACATCTACATCCATTAAGAAGAAAAACTTCAGCATGAAGAATAAGAAAAGATGACCAAAGCTTGTTTTGCCAAGATGTTATTTCTTCAGGTCTGGATCATAGCCATTTAGATTTGTTTTCCCTTTGAATTTATTTGCAACTGTTTTTCATTTTGTCTAAAGGAATTTAGAAAGTGAAAGTAAAATTGCAAATCATTCAGGTTTGATGCAAATCCATGTTTTAGTGCTTTAAACAAAATTACAGGAGAAAAAAAAAATCTATCTTATGTTTATTACTTTTAATATTATATTGAACAAGTTGCATTGGTTATATGCAGGAGTATAATATGCAACTCTTTATTTTGAAAGTTTATTTTACATAAGCTTTGCATTTACTGAGAAAGTAGTCTTACATGTAATATATTCAGTAGAATCAAAGGTACGTTTCAAAAGAAGAGAGTGAATGTATTGATATTTGGACTTACATGTGAAATATATCAAAAGTGGAAGTGTGGTGGGAGTTATTTCTTTCTCTTTCTGTTGGGATTTTTATTTGTTTTGGAATCTTGGTGAAATTTAGAACTATGGTTATATTTAAGATCTGTTCAGTTAGGTGAGGGTGCATGCCTTTTTTTCAACTTTCCTTATTGCCATTAAAATGATGAAATAAATTCACAATGACCTGGGTATGATTTTCTTCTGCATGAAAACTGTTGACAGAGAAATTAGTGGTGCTAAATGCAAGACGATGACAGTCAAAAAAGAAAGTGGAAAATAATTAACCCATGACTTAGTGTTAGTTAAACACATTAAACCAAAATTTAATACAAAGAAGTTTCTTAAATATCAGACAAATGAAAAACAACCTTTTTTTTTCTTTTACCTTTATTCAGTATAGAAAGAAAAATCATATGTCAAATTTTCTATGAGGTGCAACAGTGATTGGTAAGCATAACAAAAAATCAATGTAACATTACCATTTATAAATTCATACTTTCAGTCTTTATGAATTAACTGTTTCATCGTGTCATTATTTGGCATCATTACTTGCACTGTACCTTAGAAGAAAAAAGGCACTTAATTAAAGCATTTGTGTTAATCATCAATATTCATGAATTAGTTATAAAAATTTGTTACAAAAATATTTACAGTCAGAGCAATAATTTAAAAGTTAAAAAGAATTAGAATTGATAAAGATTTGCAGCAGCTGATTTCTTAGCATTATATTCATCTGTCTTGATGCATTTATACCAACAGTTTTCGGAATAGTAGTTCGCAAAACTTCTATATATTCAAAATAATAAACTAGGTCTATTATCATGTTTAACAGTTTATTTTAGCAACTATCCAAAGTGTTGCTATATAAAAAGCTTGGGTTTTACTGCATTCTATGAAATAAATCAGCATTCAGAGACTGAGTTTTCTATGTCAATAATCAAACATCAAAGAAGAAAAGATAAGAAAAAATTGTCTTACAAAATGTGAATAATGAGAAAGCCTTAGGTATAGTATTTTCATAGAAAGGTAAATAAAAGGAAAAGCTGTGGTGGGAAAAAGGGGTGCCAGCAAAAGTAGAACTACAGTCTAACATTGTCTCGTAAAATTCATTCAAGACTTCAGGGGAGCTAAACAAGAAGAGGACTGTAACTAAACTCAGCACAAGAGCCACTACACTTCTTGGCAAATTCAAATTCTACACATAGAATAAATATAAATGTTTCAAGCCACTCTTGAACCACCGAGTATATTGCAATAATCATATATAAGCTAAGGAGAACAAAAAGCTGTAAGCTTTTCAGAGAGAGCTGAAGTTTGCATTTCTTTTGGTCTTTCTATTTCTTTTTTTCTTTGCTTTCTAGTCTAATGTAAATTGGCTTTGGAGAGTGGGCATTACCAGCTTCTTGCTTCTTCCAATACAGCCTTTTTCAGACTGTTTTAATTTATGTAATATGGACATATACTGTCTTTATTATATGCTTGTATGTCTGAAATAAACAAACTTGAACCTGAATAAAGTCTTTCGTCCCAAAATCTAGTGGAAGAGTGGACACTGGGGCATGTTGCTTAGGTTCAGTCAGTCAGTGACTGCCACACCTACAAAAAAAAAACACTCTGCTCTCTCAAACGGTTTGCATATGTTTTCCTTTAGAACCTGCTATGGTAACAGCCAGGAATGTATGCAGAATCCTCATTTTAATAGGTGGCTCTGGACTAATTATGTACCTGCTATTAGTTCTTCACATACTGTCAGTAGATCACCCACAACACATATAATTTAAAAATAAGTTTTTTTTAAATAAAGGACCAGTACTTGTGATTCAGAATTAACAAATCGAGTGAATAAAAACAGAGCTTAACATCATAAAAATTATCAACATTGCATCTGTTTTCTTCTTCTACTGCTTTGTTCAGTCCAGAGACCTCTGTGTAGCAGTGATGATGGACATCCCATCTTGTGGGGATTTGGCTTATTCCTTCGGGAGAGATATAGATAACATATAAAATGTTTTAAAAAGGGAGACAGAATATCTCCATGTTAAACGAAAGAGCAAACTTATATGAATTAGACAACTTTTATTGTGATTTTGTTTACACAGAGTCAAGCATTTCAACAAATAAAAATGACCTTATTTTGGAGAATGATTTTATACACCGGGGAGCATGATCTCAAAAGTTAAATAAAATGGACCCTTGAAAGAATTTTTTAGGGAATCTCTTTTGGATGTCATATAGAGCTGCATGAAACTGCTGGACAAAAGGGCTTTTTTACACAAAGAAAGCAATGAAGACATCTGTTGGCTGCAGATAGTAAAACATAGTAATAACTCACTTCTGACTCTCCTGCATTTAAAGCACCTAAAACAAATAACTGCATCATTATCTGGACTGTAAAAAAAAAAGTTAAACTCTTCCTATTGAGATCGAAGGCCATTTCTCAATATGAGTAATGGTGTTTTCTAATGTGCTTGTGTGCTCTTGAAACAGCATAAACCTCAGCCCCAGCACTGTTCTATTTCACAAGAACATGAGACCAAGATCAGAAAAAGTCCCTGGATGTTGTTCTCGCCCGTCGCTCTTTACAGAACATAGATCAGACCAGACTTGTGCTTTCTACAGACTGACAACTTTCCCAGCATGCACCATGGCAGCAGTAGCTTCCAGGGGAGTGCTAGCAGAGCTCAGAGTGTTAAGTTAAAAGTTCCCTTATCTGCTGCTGTTGTTCTAAAAATGTATGTTTTAAGATCATTTGAGGTGAGAACATTATACTTTTAAGCTTCACTATTTGGCCGATTTACTGATTTAGTGTTAAAAGAAAAGTTCCCCAGCCCTCAGTCGGCATAGCCATGGGGGAAGTACTGCTGGAACTAATGGCATTTTTTATCTATTTTGCTAAATCAAATGCGAACTTTTCATTTGATTTGTGTTTATCTGGCTTTATTAATCATTAACGGCGTTACTAACGCCGTTACCTTGTTTTAGTAACGAGTAATCTAAATAATTACTTTGACTGTAACCATAACGCAGTTACCATTGCAGACACCCCGTTACTGCGTGTTACTCAGGTCGCACAATGAACCATTTTTCATGATAGGACTCGTGCGCGCCTTGTCATGAGAGAGGGGAGGATGAGAATGGCTGATGTAGTGAGATTCCGTCTTTCAGTTGGGTAGGTGGGTGTTTCTGCTGGTGGGTGTTAACGTACAGCACACACAGAGAGATGGAGAGTGAGGAGGACTCTAGCAGCAAACAGAGTTTTCCACATGGAAATACCGG